AGCAGTCATCCTTGTGTAAATGCAGGTTGGTTGAGATGGCGTTAGAGAGAGTCCAGATGGGAGAGGGAGCTGCTCTGTTTGCTCTGCATCTATGTCGGCCGTCCTGAGGTAAACACCACAGAAGAAGGCCTTCTGAAGTTCAGCACACTGATTGCGGCGAGGGAGCGACAAACAAAGCTCAGTTGGCCGTTCTCCTGAGCGTGTGCGCCCCCCCGATTTAAATCTAATTTGCCTTCCCCCGGTTTTACTGAACAACGAAGCTGATGTGGAGCAGCCAACCGCTACGCTCATTGTTGAAGTGTGGGGGGGGGCTCTCTCATAAACTGAGCATTTTTCAGACAATGAGCACGTGGGCGTATGGCTTTAGGCATATTTGACAGGATCAAATGACTAACACTGAAAAGAAAGATTCTGTCGTTTATGAAATAATCCCCCTATACTTATTTCATCCACATCCTCTCCTCTGCTTATTTTTCTTTTCCTCTCATCTCCCCCCCCCCCCCCCCCCCCCCCCTATTTAAATGGATGAGGTAAAATGGGAATCTGTATTCAGTGGGTGGTTTTTAAGATACACTGACTTTGTTTGGATTTGAAACGCGCATCACACATGCATGATGACATAAAGCTCAAGGCTTGTCCTCAGATCTGCCTGATTCTGTCGAATAAAGCAGCTCGGGGGGAAATACAAGGTGTTTATCATGCTGATATTGTGTTGGCTGCGTCTGCATGATGAATACATGCGTGTCAATACGTGGACCCGAATGTGTGCTTGTGTGTTTTGCCGCTAATAGTCCAATGATTTTGAATCCATTGCTGAATAATGGGTTGAAACAGGCAGTGACGGAGCAGGGTGTGAGGCAGCTGATGGGAGTCATTTGCATTGACGGAGCTACGAGTGTGTGAATCCGGGTTTGTGTCATTCTGTCACACCTTTGCTTAATTTTCCTGACTCACCGTGATGCATCTGTTTGCCCAATTTCATGCCATAAGGCTCATCTTCACAGCTTGATAGGAGGTAATATATTCCTGTAACTTAAATGACTTTAAATGTTCTACTTTGATTTACCTTCATCTCCTGAAAATGGCTATAAAACAAACTGGAATCATTAAACATGACATCCTGTTAAGAAGCAAATGCATTCATTCACTTACAGATACACACACATCTTTTAGAGAAAATCCTTTTTAGTGAAAGAAATTGTTTATGATATCATAAGCGTTATAGACTAAGGTCCCTCTGCTAGATAGAAAAAGATGATTGATATAATAAACACCTGACTTTCAGATTTCATGGCCATCAAATTGCAATATATCAAGTTACTTATGACCAAATCATTTCTTCCGATAGATACAGTATGTAACAGGTGTGTTTGAATATTATTTAAACCCCATGACTTCAGGGTCATTTATTTCCTACATGCTGTTGTTGTACAGTTTTGAGTGCAACAGGATGTCTAATATGAATCTAAAGAGAAATAAATAAATAGAGATAAATCAGAGAGAGAGAGAGAGAGAGAGAGAGAGAATATCGAACATCAATACATCTGGCTTTTTTCTGACCTCACATTAGAGCACTCTTTCAGCCCTCCATATAGACTGTGTGCAGTTCAAGTTTATTGCAGTATTCATCTTGTAGAAATGACTTGAACACAGAATCGATTTGCAACAGTTTATGAGGGAAATGTAATGCAGCAAATTACCTCTAATAAAACTCAACAAAGAAAACCTCGAACACAAATTAAGACACGCTGCTCGACAGGATGTGGAGATGAAAAAGGAAAATACAGATGATAATTAAAACCTTATTCTCACATGCAGACAGGTGTATAGGCATTTGTAACTACAGATGCAGCAACACCTACTCCGTCAGACACTGATTATTATGCAGAAATGAGAGCCGTGCAGAGGAGAGCTAAACTCTGTTTGATCTGGTGAGCGTGCATGAGAGCCTGCATGCGTGTCTATGTGAGTGTGTGAGAGACAGAATTAGAGACAGAGGAAGAGGAGAGAGATGCTGTCAACTTTCTCCATCCTCCGCGTCCTCCTCCTCCTCCTCCTCAGTGAAGCAGATGTCCAATTGAGTCTATTTAAAGCTTCGTGCTGTATGGCTGCCGATGCTGAGAGCGCGCGCTGTTGCTTTGCATTACTGTTGCTTTGCATTACTGTTGCTTTGCATTACTGTTGTCTTACCTACACTCTGCGTGCTTCAGCTCTGCACAATACCAGCTTGAGATTACCCCAAAGCTCCCGATTGTAGAAACATTGAAACCCTTATTTATATTACCTTTGGTGGTGTCAGTTATTTAAAGGTCCCCTATTATACTGTTTTTCATCAATATATTATAGGTTTCAGATATATACAAAACATGTCTCTGAAGTGTTTGGCTCCAAATACCAAACAGATCGTGCATCCCATAAACCCCTCTGTTTCAGCCCTGTTTCAAAAGTGCTGATTCTCTGTCTGTTACTTTAGATGAAAATAAGGAGCCCCTCCCCACGCCCCTCTGAGAGATATTTGGTTAAAAAGAACACAATGGGGCTCTAGGAGGAGATTCAGGTGATAAGGTGGGGGGGTTACCTTGGTTGGTGATTGGCTAATGGTTACACAAGCCAAAAAATCGTTATGACATCATAAAGTGGCCAAAATCTGATCAGCTCATTTTCAGACAGGTTTTTATAAAAATGGATCAGGACAAAAAGTGAGCGGATCTTTTGTCCTGAAACTTTCAGAATCTCTTTACACAGAGGGGACACATGTTGATGTATAAAAGACATGAACAAGTGGATTTTGCATAATAGGTGACCTTTAAAATATGTAATTGCGCTAATCACAATGATAATGCATGATAAACCACAAGTTTAAATACAATATACTACTTGGGAAGATAAAACAACTACTTGGGTATTTATAGGAGAAATCAGAGGGTTTTTGACTTTAGGGTTTCTCAATTTTTGGAATGAGGTCCAATGTTGGTACACTTAGCTAAAGCATCGACAAAGCCTCTATAATGGAGAGCCGATGTGCTTCCCCCCCGAATAATGTGCGCTAAACATATGCTCGTATGTTAGTATTCATATTGCAAGGACTATATGTTCCTAAAGTGGTGACTGTGTCCGCTAGCTCACAATCCAACTTCAAGAACTAGCTGGCTTCAGCAAAATGCCTTTCCTCCCTTTTCACCACACCTAAAGAACTAGTGCAGATAATTTGTCATGGATTGTTGTGCCGTAACAGTGAGGTGGTGATGGCTCTTTCTGATGTCCAGTGGTCTCCAATCAGTGCAATACATGTAGCTTGTGCCGCTTTCGCCGCTTTCTTTGACTTTTCACTGCCTCGGTGTAATGGTTGTTACCGGGCGGAGTATGGGGTGGAACTTGGTAATGTAATTCATTTGCGTTCATTTCTTTTAACTTGTAAAGGTTTCCATATTGATCGCAAGTTTAACGTTGACAGCCCTTATTACATTACATTATATGTCATTAGGCTGATGCTTTTATTCAAAGTGACTTGCAATCGTTCCATTGCGTGGACATGCCTACGGAAGCAATTTGGGGTGGAAATGTATTGCCCAACGACACTTAGACATGTTGACTTGGGATCCAACCGCTGACCCTCCGATACACTCCCGCCAGAGCCATGGTTGACCATGATTAAAAAAACAGACATTAGGTTTGACAACTTTATTTATTGTTTGTCTTTACCGGGCGGGAGTGGGCTTCCATAAACACGCCCTTTTTATGCCTACAAAGTATTTGGGCAAAATATGTTCTAATTGTTTCTCTGCAGTATTATCACTTCAATCTTTTAGTTTGTGTTCAAATTAATTTAGTTTTAACCTAAATAGTTTCTTAATAGATGTTGTAAGGTTCTGTATATGCTATTTGAAGCAAACTTTGATCAATAAAAAGCCAAACTAGGGACAAGAAGTAAACATCTACAAAATGTGCAATTGTTCTGTTAAATGTCATGAATTCAATTGAAATAAAGTACTCTAATGTTACTTTTAAAGCATCATAGACTGTAATTGTGTTAAGCAATGACTCATTTCATCAGGCTGAAAATAACAAAGCGCTTGTGCCATACCTTTGACAGCTTTGGCAGAGACTTTGTTCTGTTGTCCCAGACAATTATCTGAAACAGACGCACTTCTCACACACTTTTTCTCTTTCCAACAGGGCTCATCTGTTATTTTCCCAGTGAACAAATAGATAGCTGCTCAGAATAGGTGGGACTTGGCTGTTGCCTTGTCACTCTATACCAGGGATGACGCACCTGCCGCCATGTCTAGGGGAGGAGGAACAAAAAACACAACAGATATCAACAGGATGTGGTGGTGTCAGACAGGAAGTCAGGGTGAGATGCTCTGCAGGGCTGCGATGATGCCTCAGAAACTGCAACCCACTCTGACCAGCAGACTGAATTTATTTTAGTTTTTATAACTTGTTAAAATGATCATGAATGATTTAACAGAGCTGTGCTATATATTTGACATGCTTTATCAAGTGACTCCTGATCAGCTTTAGTTGAATAATAAGCTATTTTTATTTTTGAAAGGGTTTCTTTTGTTAACATATTACAGGTAAATGTTAATGCAACTAATCTACTACAATAAGTACACATTTTGTTTGCAGTGGTAATACTTTTCTCAGAGAATTCTCAAGCATATCCTGCCTAATGACTTACAAAGCAATATTTGAAGGTGGTTTGAGACTAACACCATAGGGATGGACACTTTTTGCAGTGTGCGAACCCTAAAATTGTTCGTAAACCCAATTCCCCGCGGTGCAAATGAAACCAAATGAAAAAGAAAAGGGGAAAATGAGTTTCCTATGTGCACTTTACCTTCATCTACTGTACATTCCTGCATTTCCATCAGCAGCAGCAGGCTGTGCGCGAGAGGGACCGGAGGAAGCTCGGATACGCGTGTGCAGAGCGCAGGCTTTAAACGGGAGGGGGCGGAGGGAGAGAGAGCGAGAGAGATAGGAGAGGGAAACAGAGAGAGGAGAAGAGAGAGAGAGAGCTTTGACAGCGCTCATCACCCACTGAACAAACCAGGACGGGTTGCATCCGAGCAATCGCTGCCATTCGCACACGGAGTTTACAGCCTTTGCGCCGCTTTTTCTTTCGATCTTTTTCTGCCGCACCCCCTCCCTCTCTCCCGGTGCTGCCCAGCAAAGTCGACCATGGTTTCTATAATTTCAGACCTGGACCCTCTGAAAAGCTGGAACGTGTTAAGGTAAGCGCCCGTGTCAGTTTGGTAGTGAACATGGTGATAGCGGAGAGACAGAAGTGGGGTTTTGTGGAGGAAAATAAGGGTGGGACGCGGCGCAGGCAGGAGGTTGCCTTTTGCCTTTCTGTGCTCTGGCGCGTAATTACGCACGGTTTGCGCCGTTTGGCTGTAATGTGCAGCGCTCTGTGTACTTTCTGAGCCTCTCTCCCTCTTCCCCATTCTCGCTGTCATGAGGCTGACGCATGCAAGCTGCTCCGTGTCTGCGTACATCTCTTTAACCCCGGCATCACCACCACCACCACCACCACCAAACTTCCATTCCAGTGTAGAAGTAGGAATAACACTCATTTATCACCACCCCTCCCTCCCTCCATATCCCTTCCTTCCCTCTCCCCCACCCCCCCACCCCCCCATGCTGATTCGGTCCTTCAAAAATGTTTGCCAGAGAAAAAAAAAAGTAAGCCCCTCCAGGAATTTATCTTGAAACATTTACTCATGGCTGGTTGCCTGCAGCACGGCGCGTTTACAGACTGTTACATTTTATCTCCCCGAGCTGCAAAACATGTTTTCAGCAACACATCCATTTAGTGCTTTGGCAGGAGGAGGCGGTCCTGACATAATTCACTGAACCTCCCATGAGGTCAAAGGTGAAACTTTTTCTTGTCTCTAGTGAGCACTCTCCTTTTTGTCAAACAGCTATTAGACTCATAGGCAGGATATAAGGCTCTACAAATCACTATGAATACATTCACTGTCATTAAGCATCTCGGCAGAAAAGCCCATGAATTTAAAAAAGCTGGATTTTGAAAAAGGCCTTGTCCCTGAATATTTCAGCCATTTGATAAATAAGTCATTATTCCCTCGGCGGACTCGGGCGGCAGCGGCGGGGACTATTGCAAATTCTATTTTAGAAACGGGGGAGAGGAGACTGAAACCCTCAAGACCATCAATTTATTATTTGAATGCCGCCTCTCCCTACTTTTATCATTTGAACCCCCCCCTCGCTGCCCTCCATCCCACTACCATCATCCACAAATCCAAAATAGAAAATGAGTGGAGTAATGTAGAGCAGGCATATTTCAATGACAGACTAAGGAGGGGGCTAAATGATGTCATTTCCAAACGTGGTGACCATCCTCAGTGAGAAATAGGACATGCAGCTGACCTCACACACACACACACACACACACACACACACACACACACACACACACACACACACACACACACACACACACACACACGCACCATGAAGTCCAAAGGTCAGAAGTGAGGTTGAAAGTTAGAAATGGACATATATTCATTCATCACACATTTTGAGAGGCTCATTAGTAGTTAGGATGGAAGGAAGCAAAAGGAGGAGAAAAAGGAAGGATGAAAGGAAGGAGGATTATTTAGGTCCCCTCTGTCTCTCCTCTTTATTAAACCTTTGTTATTCCAGATAAGAGGCAGGAGCAGCTGTCCCTCTCCAAAGACGGCACATCTTAATAAAGAGCAGCTTACCGCCGGCCGTCACTCACACTCTCTTGGGGTCACACACACACACGAACAGCTACACACACACGCACAAACGAGCACTCACGCCCACAAACACACTTCTCAATCATTTATCATAATGAAGCTTCTCGTCGGCGCTGTGTGTGCCGCTCTCTCCGTAATGAGACTCACCTCCGTCATGCTCCGACACACACTTAATGCACACACACACACACTCTCATATCATAAACACAGCAGTAACAAGACAAGTGTGTGTTGTTGTTTTCGAGCACCAGAAGCGGTTGAACAAAGGGGAAGCTATGAAGGAGCGTAAACACTTGATTTAGTTAGATACCATTGTCTTAATTTCTGACTCACGATAACACAGCTGGATCCAGATTTTTGGGGGGATTTGAGTGACAGAATTGGGTGTTTCATCATCGTTCTGGTAAAAAAATATAAAAGAGACATTTAAAACAAGGACATTATGATTGAGATGAAAGATGAGCCCTCACTGCTGTAACACTATTAGGCGGCATGATATGCATATTAGCACAATTAGCTGATTAATGCAGCTCCGTGGAATTTGATTTGCTTTTAAATGCAATAAAGAGTTAATGCAAGTGACAAATGTGTGTGCATGCATGTGTTAAAGCCAGTGTTATCTGATCAGCAGCGGGGTGTGTCTCGTGCATTCACTATCTGCTATCTTATATCACACACACACACACACACATGCATGTACACACACTCGCAGAGGATGGATGTTTGAAATCTGTCAGTGCCTCTCACAGTGCCCGTCACATATCTGAAGTGCAGTTCAGTTATGCCATAATGAGAAACAGCATGCATATTAATTCCATCTGATTACATCCAGCTACACACACACAGACACACACACACACACGGCGAGGTGCGTTCTGGATTCAATTAGGGCGTGGAGACGAGAGAGGAGCGCTCAGGTTTTTATTCTATTAATGTCTGGTTAAATCAAGGCTGGGTGTTCAGAGACAGGAAGATAAAAGTGTGTTGTTCAAGAGAAATGAAGTTTAAATGCGTATTTTTTGGGGGGGAAAATCTGTCGAAATCTGATTTCACCGTCATCCAATCATCTGAATCCTCGCGCAGGTGCACTGTCCTGCAGTTTCAGAGGAAAAGGAAGAGTCTTGAGAGGTTGAGAGCGGAAAGGGGGCTTGACCTTTGACCCCGCTGTGTTGGTTTGAATTAATCCATTTACAGAGTTGGTCCGCTTGCATTATGTGTCACTTAATATCCCGCCGGACCGCGAAGAGAGGCTCAAATCCATCCGCCTAATCACCAGGACCACTGTTGGAATCTTTAAATCCCCTCCGATAGCGTGTGTGTGTGAGAGCGTGTGTGTGAGAGTGTGTGTGTGAGAGTGTGTGTGGTGCTAAGCCAGACCCTTTTCTCCGCTTGGGATTATACTGGTTTAACAAAAGGTTTAGAGTGAAAACATTTTGGTAAAAGCCGTTTGTGATATTTCCCCCCGTGAAGTCTCTGTTTTACCTTTTAAATTGGAGCATTTTCAAGCTTAGAGATGAACAAAGTTTAAAGTGTTTTTTGTCATGTTTGAAAAAGCTGAAAAGCATGTTTGACTCGCGGTACACTGATGCCAATATGTAGAAGACATCATGAGAGTAAAAGCATGTATTTCGTTTGAGAATCAGATATAAAAATGCTTCTCTCCTTCCTTTCCATCCCTGTATTTTCCGATGTAGGAATAAGCATTGTTTGGTCGTTGTTTTAGACCGTCTCTGCTGCCTCCCTGTACATCCGCGCTCTGACTGCTACTGAATTTGACGCATGATTGTGAATGAGGACGTGTTGCAGCCTGTGATGTCCCAGCAAGCTATTCCCAGGGATGTATGCTGGGAGGAAACATCTGAGAAGCCCTAAATGTATGTTGCTGTTCTTCGGGTGTCCTTAGGAGCAGGGCTTTTCTGTGTGGGGCGCATTAGAGGATGATGTTGGGGAAAACAACAGAATTAGGACATGGACTGTAAATGTATCCTCACAATTTGAAAAGCAGGTCAAAGTTTAATCGTCTTTTGGATGGGGAAACCCTTAGTGTGGGGTCAAACTCTGTTATTAAGTTCAATATTTTTATTTTCAACAGTCATAAGATAATATAATATAAAGACCATGACATTTATCAAGATTTTCTCCAAAAACGTTTCTCTTTCAAATTGCAAAATATCTAAACCATGCTTAAATATCAGGGGGTATCAGTAAGCGATGTTTTCAATCTTAGTTTTTGTCTGGTTTTGCCAAATGACGCACCACAAATAGATCTTGTTTCATAGCCACCGTGCATAAATACCAAAAACAAGTTTAACTGAGAGAAATGGCATCGGGAGGGAGGGTCTACTCAAAACTGAACTCTCCACTTGCCACAGCTGTCAATCAAAGTATTTTTTTTCACGGCTGAGAACAATACTGCATTGAGCATCGGAGTGACGGAGGCGTGAGGGGCGGGCGGGAGGAGAGAGAGAGGGAGGGCTGAATTCCTTCAAACCCCTGGAATCAGCGAGAGATAATTACACAGTTCAGACCAAAGTGCGTCACTGAACACAAAAGAGACGGGAGGAAGATGACAGACAGGAGAGGGGAGCGGGGAAGACTAGAAATTACAGGAGAGGGGGGGGGGGGCAGAAGGAGATAGCCGGACTCACCCAGGTGTGTTGTTCAGCAGAAAATTGTCTATATATAGTTTGATATTGTTCAGAAAATGTAGTCCTGTCCTTAAGTGCATTTTTAAGGCACTTCTATTGCCACTCGATATTGGACTTCTTACTTGATTTACTTAATTTTCAATACCAAATAATGTGCAAAAAAATGTTGTTGGTTAATAACAGTTAAGAATGACCATTTCAAGTTCCCAAAGCGTGAGGAAACATGTTGTTTGTCTAAACCCAAAGATATGTTGTGCAATATCAAACAATACAAAGAAATGCAAATAGAAGTTATTCATGAGTGTGTTTACATGTTATATATATATAGCAGATTCACCCCAGTAAAGTTTCTACATTTCTGTTACTCAACTGATGTTGGTTTGAAACGAGACGTGTGTGGTCAAAATATCAAATGTTTGTCTTTTTGAAAATAGTTAAATCAACCGAGAGAAAAAGGATGAAATGATGTAGTTTAGATTCTGTTTCGTGCTTTAAAAGCTTGCTATTATTCTGCCTTTTCAAGTATATTTCAGTTGCAGCGGTACATCGTTCTCAGAGTGCTCACAGGTTACTGTGTGTGTGTGTGTGTGTGTGTGTGTGTGTGTGTGTGTGTGTGTGTGTGTGTGTGTGTGTGGTGTGTGTGTGTGTGTGTGTGTGTGTGTGTGTGTGTGTGTGTGTGTGTGTGTGTGTGTGTGTGTGTGTGTGTGTGTGTGTGTGTGTGTGTGTGTGTGTGTGTGTGTGTGTGTGTGTGTGTGTGTGTGTGTGTGTGTGTGTGTGTGTGCGCGTGCGTGCGCTATACAAGTGTTCTTGCCTGTCATGGCAGATACAGTTGCTGCT